AACCATACACGCTCCATCAACAATGATAATTTTCGAGTTGTTCCATCATTTCAACTTTACAGTCTCAAATTAGTGTGTCATTTAACCACACATGCTCTACTAACGACTTATAAAGAAATGATGTGCGTTTTCATGGATTAGCATACATTTCACATTTTTCCTAAAGTAACTTGAGTGAGATTTTAAAGAAGGTTCTAGTACTTTATATCATTATACTTTTAATGAGATTATGTCCTATTAAACCCGTTCAACTCACGATCTTTCACCACACAAAGGAGCGGTGGGTGAAAATGACACCCATTCAATGGTCATTTTATAGGCCGTTTCTTCATATCCCTCTTATAGCATGACTTCGTGAATGATGTCTACTATTGATTCGACTTACTTTTCTAATACATATAATATTAAACGTTTAATATATATATATATATATATATATATATATATATATATATATATATAAATGTGTATTTTAAAACTTTTTAAAACATAAGGGTTAAATATTAATTATCTAAATTAATCTTATAATTAATTAATCAATTTAAACCTATCATAGATTTATAATTATCATTTAATCAATCTTATAATTCAATTTATTATTAAATCCATAAGGATATTTCAATTTAATTAATCCTATAATTAAAAATTATCTATTCAAGATTATCTCATAATATTTAGGGTTTTATTTTTAGTCATATAAGGCATTCAAAGTTCGGATTTTAGAAGAATTAAAACCAGATAATCACTAAAAATAACCCTACAAATTAGATTAGGCGGAAAATCCTGAAAACCTGTTTTATGCTAGTGTCACGTCATGGTAGAGAGCATGCCACATCGTGACATGTAATTTTCGATTTTTTTTGTTCAATTCACCCATGCACTTTCAACGTTAGACAACCAGAAAGCTCTGATACCACTGATGGGGTTTATAGGTTATAAACACATGTACAATATGGGAAAACACTTAACAATTAAGAGGGCATATGCAACCTATAAGGATCTATGTCATAACACTTTGAATATAACATACTATGAACAACAAAACTAGATGAACCCTAATATAATCAATATCATGGAATTAGGGTTACATACCTTTGATATTTTTTTTCTTGTAAACAAATCAATTCAATTCCTTTATAGCAGTCTTGGAAAGCCAAGCACCAAAATTATGATGCCTCTAATGGTTTGTACCCAAACACTAGAACTAGAACACTATTGAGGAGAGAAGAGGGAGAAGAAAAATTCGGCTATTCTTTTGGAATGACGAGTGGCTGAAAATAAGAGACCCAAGGACCCTATTTATACCTGCTTAGGAAACCCTAATTTGAACATATAATATTAATATTTCAAATTCGGGTGGTTATCTAGTTTTCTTATCATCATGAGGCTTCCAGAATGCCCTATTAGGGCATTGCAAAACCGTCCATAAGGGAGGTTCTAGAACCCTTCCGTTGTTCAACTTTTAAACAATTTCATCTTAGCTCTTGCACTCTTAATTAATTCTAATTAATCTAAAAATTAATTCAAATTAATTTCTAATTAATTCTTAATTAATTATTACTATTTCCAATTAATATATACTAATCACATAATATATTAACAAATCATTTATTACAATTTATTAATCATATAATAAACTAATAAATAATCCTCTCTCTATAAATGTCATTATAACAAAGTTCTAGTTATAAGGGCAACCCAAAAAAGAATTTGCTTTTAATTACAGGTATATTCCAATTTAGTTATGAGCTAAGACACCTTAATCCAACAATTATAACTATGATTAGTGTTTATAAAGCCATGGATTTTGATTCCATACTCTATCTTCACGGTGTTCTTATGTCACATGAAGAAGATGTTTTGGAAGATCTAAAGGCGGATTTTCATGGGTGTCCATTAGCTTTGGTTTGAAAGAAGATTCTTCTTGTTCGAAACATGTTCATCAGGTGTTTTTTTTCTGAAAATTTCGACGAAGAAAAGGTTGAAAATGAAAATTCAGATAATGATCATGTACTAATGGCAAATAATGCAAAGAAGGTATATCGAAAATCTGATATAGGTTCTTTGAAATTCAAATTAGGAATGAAGTTAAAACAAACTAATAATAACTTTACAGATAACTCTAATTCGAAATTGACAGTATGAAGAAACGAAAACTGAAATCGGAAGAAGAAATTTTTAGGAGACTTAGGATTCGATTGTAACTAATTTCATGGAAATAATCGTTTTTCAAAGCACTACATATTGAAAAAGCATCATGAGAAAAGGGAGAAGGTTAAAGATGTTACATATTACATTGAAATTATCAAAAAAGTTCAACAAGAGTTAAAATTTTGTCTTTGAAGATACATAAATATGGTCATTGGGATCTAATTAAGAGGAGACGATAATAATAACCCACCGTTGCATGATAGGAATGTGAGTAGATAAAGTAGTGGAAAAAATTTCGAAACAAGCAAAGGAACTATTCATGAACTTTCGATTTAAAATTCATTAAGATTTCTCTTTTGAAATATCAATCCGAAATTAAAGAAATCCACGATAATTGTGCATAAATAGTAAGGCATTGGATTTGTTAATAAAGGTGAGGAAGAAGTTAGATAAGAGATTTCGGTTGTACAATATGTGTTAGAAGATAAGAAACTTATGATTGAAAGGTTAGAAAGAGATTATAGGTTAAAAAATGATCAAACAATTATCAGGAAAGAGAATGGGTTGCTTTTGAAACAATAAATATTTTATGTAACATAGTCAAATGACTTTTTGAACAAATGACAAAATTATTTCATACTAGTGCTATCTCTGAACAACAACATCAATTTTTTTTACCATATCTTGAGATCAAACCTGATGTTGTTTATGATATTACATATAGTTGTGAAACTGTTATATCTTCTAATTCAATTCCTAATTTTTCATATACTTATGGTATTGTTCCTCTCGAAAAGAATATAGATTCACAAAACTTTCACAAATTATGAACCACCCTTTTAACAATTTTTTAACATAATTTGATAGCTTCGAGTTCGAAAAGTAATCTTGATGATTTGATTGATAATTTTAGCAAAATTGAAGAAGTTTGTGAAGTTCATTGTGTTGGTTTTGTTTTGTTTAAACTTTAAAGCAAATTATGAAAACTACAACATTAAAATTGAAGTATCTTTTTAGAAAAAGGTCTGGAATTATTAGATAACCATGATATGTGCGTGTCCTCAATATCTATCTTGGAAAATTCTCTATAGGGTATTTTAGGGTTTGTGGTGGAGATCTGGATACCAACTTGGATCGTGATATCACTTTCTGAACTGATATTTCTACCCTATGTCTGTGTTACAAGAAATTCAGCCTAGGATAATCCAAGTGGACACTTACGATTCTAGGCACCGAAATCGTAAGCCAATATGCTAAAGGATTCTGTGAAAGTATATTGAAAACGAGAGCTTAAGATCGTATCTCTCTTCTGAAAAGAAGACCCGTTTATATAATAAACGATATTAGGGTTTCATTAGGGTTGGGCAGCTATAGGTTCCTTTGGAAACAAGTCAGGGTAATCCGGATTTTAATGAGGATTTAGGGTTACTAAAACTAACGAGATCTGGATACCAGCGGGACCCCAGCCAGGGGCTCTGCCCCTTGGACGCCGCTAGGGGCGCTGCCCCTAGACCCCGCCAAAGGGGCGCGCCCCTTTAGAAACCCCGGACCCAGGGGTGCTGTCCCCGGACTCCCAACTAGTCGTCAAACCGGCTACTAATTTGATCTTATACATGCGTGCACTCCGCACCTACCCATACACATATTAGAAAACAAATTAAGAAGCCCCTTAGCTCGCATGCTAATTCCAGTTACATAAAATGACATGGTGACACTAAAATCACCAACATTCTCTTGAATATAATAAATTTTGGAAACAAATGAAGATAAATCTTTAAAAGTCAATTTGTCCAAATCAAGTTTTTGTTAAACAAGGATGTTATGAAGAAGTAGATCATGAAATGATTAATATGGTTAAAAAGGACAATGAGATATTAAAGACGAAACATTTTTAGTCTACTCCATATTATGATCATGACAAAGTTTATTATAAGAAAATGATTTGGGTAGTAAAGAGTAGCAATGTAAAATGATCAAAACCAGTCATACACAATTTGAACCATTCTGTTCGGTATACCAAAATCAACAAGAAACTTGATATGAGATCTAGACCTCGAAAGAAGTCAAGAGAAAAGAGAGAACATAGCAAGAGAAATTCATTTTCTCCCAATGTCAGTATGCAACCTCCTTTCTCTCAACCTCAACCTCCAGGTCCTACATAGCATTCAACTCTGTCCTAGACCCAACCAACAACATAATATCATCAACAAAAAACATACATTAAGACATATTATTTGGACATCGTGAAACATCTCATTCAAGATCATGTTAAAGATATCTGGACCTAAGGTTGATCCTTGATGTAGACCATTTCCACCTGGAACAAATTTGTGTCTCCAACTCGGGTACAGATACAAGACGTAGATCAGCAATATATATCATGAATAACAGAGACATATCTCCCCGATACCCTTCTACCTTCCAAGGTTCTACATATCGTCTTGCGTGGTACACTATCATATGCCTTTTTCTCGGTTGATGAAAACCATATGTAGATCCTTATTTATTTCTCTATATTTCTTCATAAGACGTTTGAGTATATGTATTACCTCAATTGTCGACATTCTTAACATGAAACCAAGTTGATTTTCTGAAACGGTCATAACACCACACAACAACTTGACCTCAAGGTCTCTCTCCCACAATTTCATGGTATGGCCTAAAGGACTCTCTCCCCTAACTTCATTGTATGGCTAAGTACCTTGAGACATATGGATTAATAATTTGTAGTTCAACCGAAGAACAAGGCATACTAATGCCAAAAAAAGAACACTAAGGGACCTAAATGTAAATATTTTAAAACCGGTTGTAAATTTAACTCGGACATCGACCCGAACTATCTAACGAATCCCGCACCATGCTTTCTGCCAGTCTGCTGACTTCCCGGTTTTCGTCTATACCCTCCGACGATCTCTCATCCATTCCCCAAATTCAACCACGATCTATACAAATCAAAACCCTAGCCACCAAAGAATCAAATCACTAAATTCTCGTAGTTGAACCACTCATTAATACGATTACAAGGATGGAGCATCAGTCGTTCCACAATCTCTTCGAACGTCGCCCCTTCATCAAGTCCAAAACTCCTGCTGTAAAGTGGTTCAAAGAATGGTAAGCCTAAAAACCCTCTCAATTGTGTTCATATATTGATTTACAACGTTTATGAATGCAACAGTATGTGATTGTTTGTTATTAAGCAAGCCCCAATCGATAATATTATGTGGAATTTGAAAGGGAGAATCTGGATAGGTTTAGTGACTAGATATGAAATTCGCACTAGATAACTTCTGTTTCGCATTGGCACAGCGTACAGACATTATCCTCTCTCAAATTTTGTATTTATGCAACTATTAGCATAAGTAATCCTGATTCTGATTCTCTTTTACAATTGAACGAGTTCTAGGATTTCGTATTGATTGATGTTAAAATCCTTTGATTGTTTTGGATTTACATCATCTGGTTCTTTGGTGGATTCCCGCTCAAACATCATGCAAGCAATCACAAGAGTTTCCCCTTTCAGTTCTTCATGTGCTTCATGTATATCTTATTTCAGTCATCTCCTACCTCGAGACTAACCTGATTATCATTCATCCAGGGTACCACAGGATGTTGTAGCAACAGGTGGCAAATGCTATGTTTTGAAATGGGTCACAGGTTAGTACTTTACTTACCAAATAAACCGAACTTTCATAAATCATAAGTGATTCGATTAAGTGACAATGTTCTTGCATTATTTGCAACTTCCCCTTATGATTCTTCTTCTATTATGCAACCAGAGGCCCAAATGAACGCCATGAAAGAGAAACCAGTTGACTCAGAAGCTGTAGAACCTGAACCAGAACCAACTACTGAAGTTCTTTTTCTCTGCAGCTATGAGGGCTGTGGGAAAACATTCATCGATGCTGGAGCTTTAAGAAAACATTCTCATGTTCATGGAGAAAGACAGTTTGTTTGCCATTATGAGAATTGTGGAAAGGTAAATCTTTTCTTGATATTCTCTCTTTATCATATAACTTATCGACACTTTAATCAAATATTAATTTCATTACATGGTTTTCTTTGGTTAATCCATCAGACCATTGAAACTTTCGACTTATTTTGCAGAAATTTTTGGATAGCTCAAAGTTAAAGAGACATTTTCTTATACATACAGGCGAACGAGATTTTATTTGTCCACATGAAGGTTGTGGTAAGGTAATCACCCTTTTTTCCCATCAACATCAGTCTCAGTCTCAGTAGTCTCAGTACAGTGTATGTCAAAAGCAGTACAACCTGTTCTTCTGTCTAAATTTATCACTCAATCATTCTTTCAGGCTTTCTCATTGGATTTCAACTTAAGATCACACATGAAAACTCATTCTCAAGAAAACTATCATATTTGCCCTTATCAAGAATGTGGCAAAAGATATGCTCATGAATACAAACTAAAGAATCACATTATGTCTCACCATGAAAAGGTTTGATCTTTACTTCACCTTCATATTTTCATTGTATGCATCAAGTAACCACCATTAAATTCATATTAATGGTTGGTTACTATCTTATTTTCTTGTTATAATAGGGGCCAAATCCTATGTATGACCTTCCAAGACCCTGGATGAAGGCAAATTCCTCAACAACATAAAATATTGCATTTGATTTTCCATTTTACATTTTTAGTCCTCGAGTTTGTTCACAAATTGTATTTTAAATAGTTTCCTCTTACATGCTATAGGGACCAAAATCGTTAAAGGTTTAAAAATACACACCAAAATTGCTAAGAGAAAACTATTCAGGACCAAATTTGATATTTTCGAACAAACGCAGGGACCAAAAATGTAAAATCTAGTTTACGATTAATTAATGGACTATTTTTGCAGCAGGGAAACAATACTAACATGGTTGAAGTGCCGCCACCACCGCCGCCAAAGTACGTCCAACCGCCGCCAAAGCCGCCGAAGGCGGCGGCAGCCGCCACTTACGCCACCGCGTCCTCTGATCGGCCGTACGCGTGTCCGTATGAAGGATGCGAAAAGGCTTACATACATGAATATAAACTCAACCTTCATTTAAGACGAGAGCATCCGGGACATTTCCCTGAAGAAAATCCCAATTCCAATTCCATTCCGAAGAACGGCCGGAATAGAATCAGCGATGCCGACATGGATGCCGGAAGCGATCATGACGGGTATGCTTTGAAACGTGGGAATGTGAATGTCAAGTCTCAGAAACAGAATCGGGCGAAACTGAATGTGAAGGTTCCTCCGGCGAAGGCGGTGAAGCGGAAACCGGCGGCGGCGGTGGTGGTGAAGAAGCAGCCGTGGCCGGTGGCGAAGGATGTCCAGGTGGAGGAGGAAGAAGACAGTGAAGAGACTGAAGAAGATCGGGATGATGGTGAGGATGGGTGGAGGTATGGTGGTAGTGGTGGTGGTGGTGGTGATAATGATGATGATGATGAAGAGACTGAAGATGAAGATTAAGATTTAGATTTGGTGTTTTAATGAGTAAAATATATTTTTGGTTATATTAATAATAATAATATTAGATTTACAAAAAAAAAAAAAAAAAAAATTGTGATATTTTGTAAATGTTAAAAACAAGAGTCAACTTTTGAGTTTTAGGAGTCAAAGAAGGAAGGATTGGTTTCGTGGAATGTCGTTTTGGTGGTTTAGCATTTAATGTTGGAACACTCGTATCTTTTTTAGTTGCAAGTACTTGATATGTTTTGATCAATAATTGAATGTGAAATTACAAAACTACCCCTTACAAACAGAATAATCAATCAGTGTCTTCTTGACAGGTTGGATAAAGCTGTGTTTGTATACACTAACAGCCTAATTTACTATTTGTACCAAGTTAATATATATAGAGAGAGACTTGTCCGCTAAACAAGATGTATGCATATAGTGTTGTACCAAGTGCATGGGCAGTGGTACTCATGATTGGAAAAGACTGAACTACCCTTGAGAGTTGAGACCACATGTTTTGGTTATAAAAGGAGTAAAAACAACGTACCCTCACCATTATACTTGTCAAAATACTAAAAAAAGGTTTGTGTTTATAAAGAATAAACGATTTCCGTCGAACTACAAAAGAAAACCATCATGTTTGACTTTTTTTTTGTCAATAACAGATTAATACGGCGTCGTAATGCATTTTTGCAAGAACGATGTTAAAAGAATGGACATTGTTTTTTTTTTTTTTTTTTTTTTTTTTTTTTTTAATTAACTAAAATATCTCAAAAACTATATTTTAAAATAATTGAAGACGTGAATGAAAGTGTTAAAAGAAGGAATTTAAAATAAACTAAAATATGTCCGGAAATTATTTTTTAAAATAATTGAAAAATAATATACATTTCAATCGTTAAAGAACACGGAAAGGAAACAAATTTGAGCTCAATTTTAACATGTTTTCTCAAAAATAATATACATTTCATGAATCAAATTGTTAGTTCAATTCCTTTTTTTGTTTCTTTTGAATTTACATATGCATATTTGATCCGGATGATCCACTCTTTAAGCTTCTTGAATTTTCAAACCAGTTTCTTCAATCGACAAAAAAATTGAGCTTCACGAAGCACCATCATTAACTAGCAACTTCTGAGATACTCTTCAAAGAAGGTCGCCATGATTTTGATCTCGAAGATGCAAATATTGACGACGATGATCCTGACCTTTGTCTGAACATTCTTTCATGTCCGACCTCCACCTGAAGACGCAAATATTGACGCAAATAATAACAATTAAAAATACGAAGAAACTATTTTTGCGTTTAATCTGCATTAATGGAGTTGAGTTGATAATCGAATTTACTTACCTGGTTTGTAACTGTATGATCATCCGCCGTTGAACTTTGATTATTCGCCATTGATTCCGGCGGGTTGGTGTTGGTCTTGTTCTTCAACTTTGCATGTCGTTTTGCTCTTACAACCTTCATAACCTCTGAAAATTGATGATGCATAGATATAAAGTTATGATTAAACAAAACTTTGGGTTTAAATTATTATAAAATTAAGCTAGCGAGTAGCGACGATGGATTTGAAGACTTGAAGTTACCATGAGTGGTTACAAGGCGATAAGCTCGACCAAGAACAAGAGTGTCGGTAGGTCGAAGAAGCTTGACATGTGTAAACCGAATGGCTTTTTTATCATCTTCTTGATGATCATGATCATCATCATCACCATCTTTTGGAACAGCTGGTAATGGAATTATGATTGAAACGTAATGTCCTGGATTCATCTTCATGATTTCACTTGCAGTTACAGACCAATACATTCTTTCGATCTTTCCTGATGGATGTTGGATTACTAATGCAGCTGCATCTACTGCTTGACAGTTTCCCATTGCTTTAATTAGTTGCTTTCTCTCTCTAAAAACACTTTCTCTCTCTAGACGAAGAAGAAGAAGAAAAAGAAGTGAAGATTGGGAGTAGATAGTGGTCTATTTTTCTCTCTAGTACTCTTCAGTCTTCACCACCCCTCCCTTATCTATACACACCCTTCGCCAACCCAAAAACGACCCAAACCGACCCGGATACGAATGGTAAAACAGTTATACTTTTATATTTTTATACTTTGTGAGAAAAGAGAGTAAGGAATGGTTAAAGATACCCAACCACACGATGTTTAAAAATGATATTCGTGACGAAAAATATTTTATTTAATTTTTTTAGTTTAATAAAAATATTAATTTAATTATTCACAGTTTATCATATGAAAATTCACAATTTGATACGGCACAATATAAAAAAGTACCTCCATAACATTCAAAGTACATTTACAATTTAATATAATTTATTCACAGTTTAATACACTACATTCATCATTCATTCACAGGTTAAAACTTACATTTAGTGGTGTTAGATAGCAGATTTGGTGGTGTTAGGGAGCGGCGATTATGGTGGATCCTCGTCGGAACTTCCTCGATCTTGCCGAAGCTCGCAAATCCTGGACAACGGTGGTGCGAAAACTGTATACCTGGACCTTAGCTTGCAAATCTGGTTGACTGTGGTGGCAGAAATCGTAGATATGGACCGGGCCACTTCAAATTTGAGAGCCTTGTCTTCCAAAAATCAACAACGGTCGGTGGTGCTTGACGGATGATGATGACGACATGTAACACCTGGTCCTTCCTTACAGGTATATTCCTTTTCTTTATTTTAAAGTTTAAGTGGTGGGGAGTTTGGTCCGTGGGGCATACGGTAGTCTCCAACGCAGCGCACATGAGGGAATGTGGATGCGCGGATTAAATAATCTACGATTGGCGTAGATCAAGGTACACAAGGCGTAAGGGCCTAGAACCAAAATCCTAATTCTTGGGGTTATGAGGCTTATTTAAAGGCTCTAACCCCTTGAGGCCCTTCCATTCTCAGCCTCTGTCCTCCCAAACGACCTCCTTAGAAACCCTAACCTTCTTGTGTGTGTTTTGGTGACCTTTGAGTGTTTGTGTGCATCTTTGAAGGAAGAACTCCATTGGGAAGCACTTGAGAAGCTCAAAGCTTAGTGGATCTGGAACTTGCATCACATAATCATCATCCAGAAGGTATAAAGTTCTTACCTTGATGATGTTTATGATTAGATCTAGTTACTCTTGAGATTTCTATGCTTTTGTCCCCATAACCTTGGCCTTTGTGAGTATGAGCTACTCTGGGCCGTATGAATGTCATTTCCAATCGTTTTTAGGGTTGCTAAGTCATAAAAATGAGAGCTTGGTCTCTCTCATTTATCCATGCATGAGGTTTTGAGAAATAAAACGCTTTTTCGACCTCGGGTTTGGATTAGTGCTCTTTGTATGCATGGATAAAGTCAGAGACTTTATCCATTAAGATGTCTATTTGGTTTAGATCTAGAAGTTTGGTGGGTTGATCTAATGTTTTGATGACTTAATGATTAAGTTAGGACATCAGGTGTCTACGCAGGGCATAGAACTCCTTACACTGGTCGTAGCCCTGATTTTCCCGTCCTTTCCACCTTAGGCTCTGTGACATCCCCATTTTTCACGGCCAGAAAAGACCAATTTTGTTTATGTTTTATAAAAATCAGAGTACCTCTTTTAATACAATTGTTGCGGAATTTGTTCCCAGAAAAACATGATAAATACGTTATCAAAGCATTTCCGATGAAATGTAATTTTATCCATTTTAAAACATTTGGGATGTCATCGTCAATACAGAAACATAAGCATAAACAGAACTTACATTCATTTACACTAGTGATCTACATCTCTTTTAAATCCCTCAGTGTAAAGTAGCTTCATATCGACACCTGTGATACAAATAAGCTGGAGTGGGTCAGGTTGGGAAACCTGGTGAGTACATAGGGTTTTCAACCCACAATAATTTAATTATTATGTTTAAATATCAAACAATCAACCCAATTACCCATCCCCATTATCTTCCTTACTCTTAAGGATCTACCCTAAGAATCATCTATCATGCATTCGTTCATTTCGAAGCCCATTGCTTCCAGGGTTTGTATGATAGGCACTAAGTCCATAGCTGCCAATGCTCGTTCGTAAAGCACTAATTCCATAGCTGCTAAAGTTCATTCATCGGGTACTAAATCCATAGCTACCAGTGTTTATCTAATAGGTACTAAGTCCATAGCTACCAACGTTTATCTAACAGGTACTAAGTCCATAGCTACCAACGTTTATTCGATTGGCACTAAGTCCATAGCTGCCGATGTTATTTATTAGGCACTAAGTCTATAGCTGCCAATGTTCACTCATATCGTCTTTCATCTCTCATCATTCATCTACCCATGTTTTACCCAACATATTCGTAGATATAAAATACATATAGAGTTTAAATTATTTAAAACATGTATAAAATCGTTCATCCAACATATATAGCAAGTATACAGGTTATATGCACACATAACACGTAATTTATATAAAATACTTCATATCTATGTGTAAGATGAAAGTAACTATGCACTCACCTGCAATGGTGGTGACTCGGTACTCGGACAGCACTTCGTTTACTTTAAAACGAATTTCCGTTGACAAAACCTAGTATCATTTCCACTAGAGTTTAGTCTAATGTTCAACGAGACTAATTAATAGTCTAACTATTATTACTATTATATAAGCGTTAAACAATACTCTTCACCCACTATGTACAGACAGGGGCCAGACATGAAACACCCGAGGGCAGGATCATTTTGGCATATAGCACTTCTGAAATCCAACAACCCAGGCGGCCCTTCAAACCGGATTTCCCGTACCGCGAGTGGTTAAAAAGATATTATAACGACACTTATATAACCCGTAATAATAGCTCAAATAATTATTATAAGGTCCTAATAACGTTACTATATTTAAATAAAAGCTATATTAAAAATTAGGTAGACGTATCTTACCTACGAGGGGGTTTGGCTAGAAGCCGCGCTCTGTAGGGGCAGAACTTCCGAGCCAAAAGCTCATCTTCTCGGAGCCGTCAAGCGCTCCGGGGCTTTCTTCTAGCGCTAGGGGAGTTTTGGGAGGTTTAGA